TATATAAAACGTCGTGTTTGATAAGGAAGAAAAATATGAAGGAAAAAAAAGTGAATGAATGAGTTTTCCTTCCAACTCACCAAAATCAATCCTTTCAAAATAAGGCGAAAAAGGAAAGAAAACGGTGCTCACGTTAGATAAAAATATATTATTTACTTTTTTAACCTTAAACTAAATCCTTATTTACATTAAACACCTAAACCTAAACTCATATACCAATCATAGAATTACATTATGTGTTAACACTATATGTGTATCTGCATATTTTATGTGATTTGTGTTTGTTGAAAAACATGATGCATATATCGTAGTGACATGGTTTATAATATATACACTAATTTCATATAAGGATAAAATAATAAATTATGTATCTATATTGTTTCTATCCTTCTACTTTTTTCATCAATATCATGCACAAAAAAATTAATCTTTGTACCTCTTACTTTTTTGAAAGATAGAAAATGTATTAATCCTATTTTCTATACCTCTTACTTTCTATCATTTTTATCAAACAGAGCATTAGTCTAACTTGTTTAATTATCGCATATTGTTTGGTAATAAACTCACTAAAAATTTGGGTACATGTTTATAATACAAATTTCGAATGTGCACAATTTTATACAACCAGGTAAGTTCAAACACATAATGTGTCGATTTACACGTTTACTTTCTCTTCATCCATTGCTTTGTATAGAATAACAATTTTAACGGATTTGGTAAGCACCATTACTCTAGATAATTACCACCTAACAATTATGTAAAGAATAAACCAATACTTGACAACAAAAGGCGCATCGCCGGATGTCATTGCTTATGGTGGAAGTACAAAGAAAAAACTTAACCAATGGTTAACAACCCTAATCCTTATCTCCAAACAGTCTTTTTCACCACCTTATAGCTCAGCAAATTTAAACCTAATTAATTTAGAGAAAATGACCCAACTTTTCCCATCTAAGATGCTTTATGATATCATCTCTTAGGGGTGATATATTTAGTTATTTCTTTGTTAGGTATAAAGAACATAACAACTTGATTCCAAGGAAAACTAATGTGGAAAGTCTTTTAATTTTACTAGTTAACATTAATCAATGTACTCCATCCAATCGGTGTAATTTATAGGTGATTACAGTTTAATTTTAAATTTACATAACGCTCACAAATTTAAAAGATATTTAGTTGGACCATTTTTTTAATACTAAAAAAATATTTCTTTCAATAAACAAAGAAAGTTCCACCTCAACCAAACAAAAAACAAAGAAAGAATGAGGTAAGATGAGGAATCATTATTGGTAGCTTTTGTAAGATACTTTGGAACTTTAGATGAGCAAAGGCAGTGACTCTTTTTTGTATAGATGGAGAACCATGGACCACTAATAATAGGACCCTAAATTTTTCACAACACCTCCCAACTCCTTTTGCATTATAAAATGTTTCAAAGTTGGTGAGGTCATGAAAGTGGATCCATGAAGCATCTAGACACAAGATTTGCATAGGTCATATTCCTTTGTTGTTGTGATTATTTTAAATAGAACTTAGTATAGATGCATGTGTCATGTACCATTGGCCATATGTCATGAACTGATTGCGCATTGGATGCTTGGACCCACATAATACTTCTTGTAATATGGGCTTTTGAACAAGGTTGGGTGGGATAATGTCACCATTAGCAAGGTTGTGATCATCTAGGTAACCAAAAGATTATGAGATTTTGGAGAGACGCAAGCTGAGTTTTACTTCAATTTTGTACATCGAGTTATCTAATCTCCTTTAAATTTGAGCAAGATATAAACAGGCCCATTTGCCCGTTAAGAGTAATTTCCTTGTTTAACTCGATTGTGATGGTTTAAATAAGAAGATTTAAAAGAATAGAGTTTAGAGGTTATCTCGTCAAAGTAAGAGGTCATGGGATAGAACCTCACAAAAAATAACTCTCTCTCTCTCTTTTGTACGTCACCTTAAGTGCTCTTTTAGCTATCCGTCTATGCGAATTATCTCTTGGTCAGCCTTGTTCGAGTGCTCTCACCTCTATCGTGGTAGCTCGTAAATTTGTTGTACTTAATCAATTGTAATATTGATACATCGCTTCATGTTTATTTGGAAAAAAAAAAAAAGAGGGACAAGCACATGCAAATGTAATCCTTTGATGGATCTATATCCGTTTCAATACATTTGTTGTTAACTTTTTTATTGTTAGATCTCTTATTGCGTATCAATGGATTGTTTGCTTAAATACAGAAAGTTCTATATTAAATTTATGACATATGATCTGCTACTTAAAAAAATTTTATGATAAAATTTACTATACATTAATTGAAGATCCAAATCTTCATGTGAGAACCCCTTTACATTATTTGGCTTTAATATGGATTGGACAACACTACAAACTAAGTCACATTCTGTAAAATTAAGGCCGGCTAAAAAAAAAGAATCGGATTGGCAACAAATGCGGACCTATGCCGAATTTTGAGTTCTGTCGTATATGAGTAGATTTTTCGTTAATACACGATAAATGATTTGTTAAGAAAGAGAAACTAAGAAATTAAAAAAAAAAGTATTAGAAAAAACCTAGACCCTATTACAAAAAAATTAACTTAACATCGTGTCAAAACTATTTAACTAGTGCTTACTTTCATGATGTAATATTTATAAATATTTTATTTTTGGGAAGCTTATGGATGATGGATTTGGTCGGGACAGGAGAGGGGGTCTACTCCAATGTCTACTTCACAGGTTTTCATATTGACCCGAACAGACTAATACAATATGTATAATTAATTAGATTGAGTTATACTTGACTAGTACTTTATACAAAAAAAAAAAGTCAGTTTGACACCCTTTCTCCAATAGAGAAAATGGGTTCACTACTAGCATGGTTTGAGTGAATGAAATAGAGATTTGACCGTGATTTTGACAAAAAAAAATTGGTATTATACCTCTATTTATTATATTTGTGGATCATTTTATCACTGTTGTTATATCCAAAAAAATGATGAAAATAATTACTACAACAGTAGTAAAAATATCACATATTTGTAAAAATAGTCACAAATGTAATAAAAATATCCTCAAATATGGTAAATTTTTTTGTATAAAAGACAAATGGTAAAAATACCAATAAAAGTGATAAATCACCTATAAAATGGATAAATTTTGTAATTATAAATAATCTATAAAAAATATCCATTAAAAAGATAAAAGTTAAAAATACAATATCAACTTTATTTATTTGCGGTACCGTAGTCAAGTCCATGAAATAAATTTCTTGGAAGCCTTTTTCCTATTATTTCATTTTGTGGGAGTTGTGGTCAAATACTCCAAAAGGTATGTTAGAGTAACCAACAAACAGGCTACCCTTGGGAATATCTAGGATATGGGTATCCCCACAAGTAAAGAAATTGATTATTTATAAAAATAAATAATAATAATAAAATAGAAATGAGTATTAGTCATATTACTCCCACACGCAAATGCAGTTCTAGTTCCACAAACATAAAACTTCCAATAGGACAAATAAAGCAGGCAAATAAAGCTGACATATGTACTTCGATTAGGCTACCACATTGCAAAGGTAGTGTGTCGAAGAATGTGGCTTTACCTCTCACTCTCATCAGTGGCGGACAGAAATTTCTTTGTAGGTGGTTGGGTCGGTCATATTCAATGTAACTTACAATCAGGGCCCCGACCCAGAAATTTTGTCCAGCGGAGACAATTTAAATTATATAAATATTAAAATTATTAATAGAATGATAATTAAAATAACAATTCATATACATTTGCGCTATACAAAAAGAGTCAATAAAAAAAGTTCACTATAAATTTGTTTTTTGACATTTCTAAATGACTCATATATTTGTTAAAATATCATAACTACCTATAAATTTTTTTAAAAAAATTCAATAGGGGCAAATCTCTAATAAATTTAAAAAAAAATTCAAATTATATTTACTCCCCAAAAATTTTTAAAGTAATTGCCCACCACTGTGGATCCATTGCTACTTACAATGTAGACTAAATATGTAATTTATCAATTTAGATTCTCGATGCATAAAAATATATCTAACAAAGTAATATATGTAATAAAAAAATAAAATAAAGATATGGTAAAAAATTAAAGATGAACAAAAAAAAAAAAGTACATATCAACTTAGCTGTATAATTAATTCGTAATAAACTTTTCAATAATTTTTTATACCTACCTAGTTGAAGTGTTTATGACGAAATCATTGTCTATTGTATTGCAAAACTCTCTTTTGACAACGTTCAATATGAAATGATTAAAAGACCTAATTCATTTTAGCATTTGAATTGACTATGAACACTATTAAACATTAAAACTTAGTATTAATTTTATAATTATTATGAAGTTACATTATTAAATCAACAAATTATATCAAATTTTAAAAAAAAGTATACGTGATATATTTTTATTAGATAAAAAATGAGAACTATGATAACAAAATTTATTTTTCCGTAGCATCTTGAGACCATACATTGTCAAAAAGAAAAACGTGGTTGGCAACTTGCCTCTGGTCCTAGACTTTTGCTGGCACTGTCCAACACCTTCTTGGCAAGTTTTGAAAGAATGACACTTCCTTGTCATTGAACTTTTTTAGACTCCAGACTTCTATGTTTTTCTGAGTGATTTATAGATATTTTGGAACTAGAGGTTTTATTTGCATCGGTAATATAAAACCGAGAGCGAATGAGAATTATTCTTAATTTTAAAAGCAATTTAAATATTTATTTTTCATAATAAAAAAAGGGTACAAGATTCAAACCCATGTCCCTCGAGTGGGTGTGGTTCATTTAAAATCTCTCTTGGTCTCGATTGACTCAATTATTAGAACCTCAATAACGAACCTGTCTTTTACTAGTTGAACAGTAGGTAAAATAGAACAATTCCGCGTGACATAAAAAAATAAAGCTCTTGGCTTGACCCTCTCTTATTGTACAACTCAAGAGAGGTATCAGAGAGATTGAAAATGAGAAAAAAAAAATATTCCATGTAACTGTTATCCCAGTGAAAACTAAAATCCACGAGCAATCAAGCTAAAATAAACTCACAAGAAATCCAACATTTGTACAAAATTAGAGGACAAATTAGAGATTATACACACGTACAAGTTCAAAGTCAATAAGAGGAATAGGCCACCCGGTGAAGGACTCGGTTTCTGAGAATTCCATTGTAAAGAGCCAACCGATTTGCTGGCATTCGTCTTTGCACTTTCTCACTGTTCTTGAACGTCGTCGTCGATGACTTCGAAACTGAAGTATTTCTATGGCTGTTATTACTACTCTGCAACTTTCTGTATTCATCACTGTTCCCTATTGGGTCCAGCACATCCTCTGCAAAGTGCACCCTCTTCTTCTTTTTCTCTCTCCTCTTCCCATCTGCACACCCACCATCAAACCCACAAAAAAGCCACAAAGTTCATAAGAATTCTTCATAACTTATGTGTATATATATATGAAAAAATTCGATAATTTATTTGAAACTGAGACGCGCTGATGTTTAGGTGATTTTGAAACACAGAAAATGGGTTAGAGAGACGCCTGAAGTTTACGTTTATCCTTCCGATGCTTAAGTCAGCGATGATACTGAGGAAGAGAGAGAATACGAACCAACGCAAATGGGTTAAGAGGGGGCACCAGGAGTATCTTCAACTTATCTCTCTTCCAATGTTTAAGTCTCTAATAATTTAGAGAGAGAATAGGAAGCATAATCTAGCAGAATGACTGAAACATCACCACGTGTCAATTCTAGATTGATTTTCAATTTTTTTAATTCGACAAAATTCTGCGTGTGTGTGTGTGTGTTGTGAGAGAGAGAAAGGTGTACGAACCTGAAGAGATGCAGGATCGAGGAGGGCCTGAAGGTGGGGACTGAGGAATGGAGTTGATTGAGAATTGGGTTGTTGGGAGAGACTTTTGGAGGCGAAAAGCAAGGAGAAGAACGGTGCCGGAGACGGCGACGGCGGCTGTGGCCAAGACTGCACCTTGGGAAGTCAAGATTGAAGACATAGCTACAGAGAAATAAGGAGAAGAAAATGGGTGGGAAATGGTGGAAAAAAAGGAATTGAGATGATGCTTTTCTGTGGGTTTTTTTATTCTAGTGGAAATGTATGTAATTGCTTTGACTATTAATTTATAGAACAAATGGGATTTTTATATTGAAGAAATTGGAGACTCTAGGGTAAGAGAGGGAGTCGATTATGTGTGCGTGTGTTAGAGAGAGAGAGAGAGAGAGAGAGAGAAATGGCTATGTACGAACTTTTGCTGGTGCAGTGCACGGCTTTGCTAGCATGAAAGTGTTCATGGCTGATGTTAGTTGCTTCTTAGAGAAGAGAATATAGTAACATTATTAGTTGGGGGTTGTTTGCAAAGATGAGACGCTGTCATAACCCGTCCACTACACGCTCCTTCTTTGTGGGAAATATGGTGGATAATGTTGTACAAGCCTAGGATTTTGACAAAGGCCTCAGCCTCAATCTATGATATGAAAAAGGTGTTCGAAGTAAGTGAAGTGTGACCACCTCGACTCCGTCAATTGACTTGTACAAAGATTTAAGGAACCAGGAAGTGACTCCTCGATACTTTTCAAAAGTAATTAATTTGGTAAGTTGTCAAGGACTACCAACATAAAGCATAATTTCACACAACACAATTATTAAAATGATGTTGGTCTTTAATCTAGTAATTTATTGGTCCAATTTATAAGTTTAATCCTTAGATTGAGAGGACTCCACTTTATATTGACTAATCCAATAACATTTTTGATTTGGATGCATAAATCAAATTATCAAACACATTCCAACTGCAATTACTTTGATAGTAAAATAGAAGAATCCATTGATCTTAATCCATAATGTTCTAATTGCTTAATTCATTCTCTTTATTTTGCATTTTGAGAGATTTTTCCTTTGATGCTCTACTACAATTTTCAAATTTTAGGAACATATTGGGGGAGGGATTTTGTTGAAAAGAGTTTGACTTCAACATTGCACAAAAAAGAATTTTCTAGTCGAGGCCTTAAGCAAACATTTTCAATTATGATCATGTTTAGAGTTAGTCTACCATGACTATGAGAGCATCACTAATGTAAGTTACTAAGAGTCATTTTGCCATCGGACCATGGATTGGTTTGGCCCAGCACTTGTGACCAGTGATTTTTTACTCACCAATTAAGCTCGCTCAATTAAAGCCCATAAAAACAGAACATTGGGTAGACTCGTGATTTAACCCATCGACCAATAAAAATATCAAAAAAAATAAGTAGTATTTCAAAATTAACAAGGTGAGAATTTTAAAAATAGGCCAATTAAGGATAATTTAAAGTGAAAATTAGAAGTGAATCCCCTTAGATGTACTTGTTTGGAGATAAGTCCTGTAAAAAAACTTATAAGGGGTTAAGTTCATGTTTAAAATTATATGTAATGACTTAAGTCCATTTTTTTTTTCTCAAAAATACCCTTCCTTGAATGAAAGTTAATCTTTTTTCTCTCATATCTATCTATATTCATATATAGGTTAAGTGTTTGACTAACATTAAAATTTTCTCTCTCTTATCTATCTATATATATATATATATATATATAGTAACACTCAAATACAAAAAAAAATTACTATGAATTTGAATAGTAAAATTCAAATTCATATTACTATTTTTTTTATTATGTTACTTTTCATGTTACTATTTTTGTTGATCATGTTACTACTATTATTTTCCTAAATGTTAATATTCAATGTTATTTTTTTTTTAATATCACTATTTTTTGCATTTGAATTTGAGAGAAATAATTATTGTCAAGTATGTTACAGTTTTTGTTAAGCATGTTACTATTTTTGTTGAACATATTCCTATTGTTATTTTTTTTAAATATTAATATTAAATGTTTCAATTTTTTTATGTTTAAATGTTACTATTTTTTTGTGTTCAAATGTATTATTTTTTGTGTCCAAATGATTACCTTTTTTTGTATTTGAATGCTACTATTTTTTTATTTTTAATGTTACTATATATATATACATATATATAACCTATATATAGATAGATGAGAGAGAAAAAAATATTAATATTAGTCAAACTCTTAATCTATATATTGATATAGATAAATATGAGAGAGAAAAGATTTTAATATTAGTCAAACTCTTAAAATTTAAGAGTTTTTAATTTTTAGTTTTATTTTACTTCTAAAAGGAAGGGATAGTATGATAAAATTGATAAAAAATTAACTTCATAACAAATAAATTTCTTTGACGGACTTAAATTCAAACAAATTCGTATGGAAGCACCGGCCTCCAAATTTTCCCAATTTAAAATGCGTGTCAGCAGCGGATTGATATTGTTTTGGACGAGCTAACGAGACACGTTGACTAGTCAACGGTTCGAGCAGCAGCCCAATGACCGACATGAGCCATTAATGGATACAAAATGTAGGCCTGTCCCGGCCTGGCCCATTCCTCTACCTATCCTACGTGCCAAGCTTAGATTATCTTGCAAAAGAGCAAAATAGTGTCGAGATTGTTGGCTACGCGCGTAGGGAGCGTGAAGTCGGAGACAGGTGTCAATTATTTTCGTTTTACGTTGAAAATTACAAAGGGCACAATGGCTTCGACGTGAAGGAAGATATGAAAATGAGTTTGGACCAATGAGAATGAAGCTCTTCTTTGACCAATGAGGTTGGCTGTCGCTTTTATATTACTGTTCGTGCTTCACATGCTTGTACTATATATTCTTTTTTTGATTTGGGGGGTGGGGGGGTTGGGGTTGGTGGTTTGGTTATACATTAAAAAAAAATCGATATTACATCAAAATTGATTAAGAATTGTTGAACTTAATTCTACATAGTTGTAGTTATTTGTTGTAAAAAAATTTAAAATAATTATGTGTTAAGCCTGGCCACTAGGGAGGTCCCCACTCTATAGGGGGGGGGGGGGGGGGGGGGGGGGGGGTGGGCCCC